TTCTAATAAAATTTTTCTTGCAATTCTTGAACCATCTGTTGCAGTTGCAATAAGTTTATTATTAAAAACTCTTAAATTAATACCTTTAAATGCTGTTCTTCCATCTTTTCCTTGTACAGCAAATGAAACTTGTTTAATAATTTCTTTAAATGTATTTTTTGGTAGTAATATTTCTTGACCAATTATTTCAAAATTTGGTTTTCTAAACATTTTAATATCTAATGCATTTACTCTATTTTTTGATTTACCTGAAATAAAATGAATAATGTTTTGATCACTTGTTTTAATGTTTATTGTTCCGTCAAATTTTTGACATAATTCATTCATAATATATCCATTTACTACAAATTTACCAGTCTCTATTATTTCTAAATCATTACTTTTTTTTTCAATAGAAATAACATTATTGTTTGAAATTATTGATATTTCATTTTCAGTTACTTCAACAATAAAAATATTATTTCTAAAATCACTAGAATAAGCAATTTTATATGTTGCATAAAGTAAATCTTTTAATACTTGTGTTTTAATATTTATGTTCATTTAATTTATTATATTTTTGAAATTTTTATTATGTTTTATAATTTATATTTATTATTTTAATATATTATTATTATGTTGTTAATTTTGTTAAAAATTAAAAAAAAACAATATCAACACTTAAAAAATATATGTTATTAAAAAGTTAATAAAACTAAAATTCTAAACATTTATTTTTTATTTCACACAATTCTTGTTTTAAATTTTCATTAGTTTTTAATAATTGTCTAAATTTTTTGATACCATTTACAATTGTTGTATGGTTTTTAGCTTTGAAAATTTTAGCTATAGATTCAAATACATCACCTCTTAATTCTCTTATTAAATACATAGACATATATTTTGCTATAACTATTTCTTTATTTCTTTGTTTAGAAGTTAATTTATTTTGATTAAGACTATAAAAATTTGCAACTATTTTTATTATTTTTTGAACTGTTATTTTATTTTCTATTGAAAATTTATAGTTACTTATTAAATTTTTAAAATCATGTATATCAAAAACTTTTTCACATGAGTTAAAAACTATTTTTTTTACAATACCTTCTAATTTTCTTATATCTTGTCTGAAGTTTTTTGAAATAAATTTAATTACTTGTTTATCTATTTTATTAATAGAAAAATTTAAATCTTGTAATTTTTGTTCAATAATTTTTATTCCTGCTTCTATACTTGGAGTATCTATTTTTAAAACTATACCTTTTTGTAATCTTGAAATTATTCTTTTGTTTATGTTTATTAATTCTTCTGGATGAACATCTGCAGCAAAAACAAAGTTTATATGTTTGTTATTTATTATTTGAAAAAAAATATCTGATATTTTTTCTTTTCCAGTTAAAAATTGAATATCATCAAATAATATTAATTCATATTTATTTATTAAATTATTTTTAAAAATTTCTATTTTTTTACTTTCATTTTTGTTAAATAAATCATAAATTTGTTTAATAAAGTCGTTAGTATGTATATATTTTGTTGAAATTTTGTTTTTATTTGATAAATCTTCTAATTTTTCTAAAATAAAAGTTTTTCCTAAACCTGGTTCTGAATGTATAAAAACAGGATTAAATTTAAAGTCTTTATTTAACATTCTTTCAATAAGATCAATTATTGCTTTATTGAATTTGTCAATTATTAAACCCTCTAATTTTGGTGAACTTATTTTACAAAATTTTATTTCTGGAATTTCAAACATTAATTGTTTAAAAACACCATCTCTTTCTAACTTTTTAAAAATTAAATTGGATTTTGAAACAAAAGTTAAAGTATTGTTTTCAAAACATTTAGGATTACAATTATCAAAAAAATGTTCAACATAATATAAGTCTTCTTTTTTTATAATTTCTTCTCTTATTTTATTTCAAGTATTAAATATTTTTTTTAACATCATATTTTAATAATTTTATATCTTTAGAAAAAACATTTATTATTTAAACAATAAAATCACAAATTTTTAGTATAAAAAATATTATCAAATATAAAAAAAATAATTAAAATAACAATAATATTTTTTATATAAAAAGAATTTAAAAAAAGTTTATATCTGAAATTTATATTAAAAATGTTTATAATTAAATTAATTTTATTATGAAAAGAACTTGACAACCAAAAAAATTAAAAAGAAAAAGAAAACATGGTTTTCTTTCTAGAATGACTACTAAAGGTGGACGTTTAATTTTAAAACGTCGTAGAAAAAAGAACCGTAAAACATTAACAGTTAGTGGTTAATATTGAAAAAAGCATTAAAAAATAAAGAAATTCAAAATTTAATTAAAAAAAACAAAACAATAAATGTAAAAATGATTTTTTGTTTTTTTTCTTTTAATAACAAAGAATTAAAATTTTCTTTTTCTTCATCAAAAATATTTAAAAATAAACCTATAAGAAATAAAATAAAAAGACAATTAAGATCAATTGTATTTAAAATTAATGATTGACCATTAGATTTAAATTTGTTTTTGATAGCTAAAAAAAATTTTTGTGATTTTAATTATAATGAAATATGTGAAAATATAAATATAATTAAAAAAAAGATAAAAAAAATAAAATGTTTAAAAAGTGGTCAAACAATTTAGTTATAAAAGCAAAAAAAAAAGATAATGTTTTTGTAAAAATACTAAAAATAATTAGAATTTTTTTAGTAATTTCTATGATTATTATTGCAATTTGAGGTCTTGGTTCTTTATTTTTTGAAAAGTCTATAGGTGTTTCATCTGTTGGTACAGGTGAAAGAGAAAAAATTTATTCAGGTATTTTTTTTGAATTAGGTGGTGGTCTGGAAAATGTAGATTTTAAAAGAAGAATGATGTTACATTTTGTAGATGGCAAATTATATCAATATGATTATCATTTGGTAAAAGAATGATCAGATATTGTAAATGTTACAATTTCTCCATTTTATATAATTTTTGTTTATCCTGTTTCATGAGTTTTTACAAAATTATGTATTATTTTTGGTTTGAATATAAATGAAAGTAATTTAAGTAACATTTTCATTATTCTTTCTACATTATTTATGGTTAGTTTGATGTTACGTTTGATTAATTTTTATAGCACTTGAAATAAAAAGGTTATGGAAGAAAAAAAGAAAAGAATACAATCAAAAATTGATGAAATTAATACAAAGTATTCAAAAGATAATAGCATGCAATCACGTCAAATGAAACAACAAGAAATATATGCTTTATATTCTAAAAATAAAATAAATCAAGCAAGCCCTTTATATGGTTTGGTTTTTATGCCTTTTGTGTTTGTTCTTTTTGCTTTTGTTAGAGCAAATTATTTAATAAAAACAACAGAATTAAAAGATCCTGAAAGCACAAAAGTTTTATTTTCATTTTCATCATCTATATGAAATTCATTAAAAAGTAGTAGTTTTCAAAATTGACGTATGTATATAATTGGTATTGTTTACTTTATTATTTTAGGAACAAAACATTTTTTAACATGACATTTTAAATCTAAGCAAAGAACAGTTATAAAAAAAGTTGTAACAAAAGTTCCACAAGACACAATTGCTGGTTTTAGTAAGGGAAAAATAATTCAAATAGTATTTCAAGTTATGCTTATTGTTTTTTTCTTTACATTCCCTATTGGAGTTTCAATCTACTTTACATTTAATTTATTTTTTGAAATATTAGAAAAAATATTCTTTGAATTTTTGTTAGATAAAAGAAAAAAAGTCGAAGTTTTAAGAAAAAAAGGCATTAAAACAAGTATATGAAGACAATTGTTTTTTATAAAAAAAGTAAAATAAATAAATATAATCAAACTTTAAAACAACCAAGTTATTATTTTATTAAAAAAGTTATATCAATATTTTTTTTTAAAATTAAGTATGAGGTTGTATTTTTTAATAATCAAGATATTATTGATTTTTTAAATAAAAAAATTATTGATTTAATTTCAAATGAATTTGAGTTAATAATAAAATTTAAAGATATAAAAATTAAACATTTACAAGAAATAACTGTTACTTTAGATACAAATAATAACAATTTATTGTTTGGTAAATTTGGTCAAAATAAAACTTCAATTGAAAAGTACTTTTCATTAGTTTGTTCAAAAGTTTTTTTAACAAAAATTAAAATAAATATTAAATTTTTAAATAAAAAAAATAATTTTACAAATAAAAACAATCACAAAAAACAATCACAAAAATAAAAATGAAAAATAAATTTGGTTTTTTTGATACACATTTTCATCTTTTTGATGAAAGATATAAAAATGAACAAAAATTTTCAGAAAAAGAATTAATAGATAAAGCATTTAAAAATAATGTTGGATGAATTTGTAATGTTTCTACAACATTAAAAGATAGTAAAATTGTTTTAAAACAAATACAAAAATATAAAAATGTTATTGGAGCAATTGGATGTCATCCAAATTATTCTTATCAATGAAACAAAAAACAATATCTTGAATTAGAGATGATGTTAAAAACAAATAAAATAAAAGCTATTGGTGAAATAGGATTAGATTATTATAGAAATTTTTCAACCAAAAAACAACAAGAAAAATGTTTTATAGATCAATTAAAATTATCAAAAAAATATAATTTACCTGTTTTACTCCATTTAAGAGAATCATATCAAGATGCAATTAGTATTATTGAAAAATTAAATATAAAAAAAGGTATTGTTCATTGTTTTTCTGGTACATTAAAACAAGCTAAAAAATTTATTGATTTAGGTTTTTTGATTTCTATTTCAGGTGTTGTTACATTTTCTAATGCTAAAAATTTAAGAGAAGTTGTAAAAAATATTTCTTTGGAAAAAATCGTTGTAGAAACAGATGCACCATATTTAACACCAGTACCATTTAGGGGTAAGATAAATTATTGTGAATATATAAAATTTACAATAGAAAAAATTGCAGAAATAAAAGATATTTCTTTTGAAAGTGTTGTTGAAAACACAACTAAAAATGCTTTAAATTTATTTGGTTTAAAGTAAACATGGTGACTCAGAACAGATTTGAACTGTTGACACCTTGAGCTTCAGTCAAGTGCTCTACCAGGCTGAGCTACTGAGTCATGTTTATTTAAAATATTATAATATTTTTTAAAATTTTATTTATAATTAATAATAATAAAATGAATTTATTTGTTTTGTTGGACCTGTGGTGTACTGGTAACATGTCTCCCTGTCCAGGAGAAGATAGCGAGTTCGATCCTCGTCAGGTCCGCCATTTTATGGAAAAAACAATTTTAGAAATAAAAGGTTTAAATAAAAGTTATAAAAATAATGTTGTTTTTAATGATTTAAATTTTAAACTTTATGAAAATGACATTCTAGCATTAGTTGGTTCAAATGGTGCTGGAAAAACAACTTTAATAGAAATTATTAGTGGAATTAAAAAATATGATTCTGGAAACATTCAATATATTGGTTCAAAAACAAAATTTTTATCAAACTTAAATGTTTGTTTTCAAGAAGGTGGTTATCCTTATGGAATAAGGGTTTTTGATATTATATTACTTTTTTCAAATGTTTATGGTGTTTTAAAAGATGAATATCTTTATAAAAAATTAAAAATTAAAGAACTTGAAAAAAAATCAATGAATAGTTTGTCTTTTGGACAAAGAAAACGTTTTGAATTGTATATTGCATTATTTTCAGGTGTTAAATATATAATTTTAGATGAAATTACATCTGGTGTTGATGTATGGATGAGGATTGTTGTTTTAGATATTTTAAAAACATATATTAAAAAAAATAAGTTAACATTAATTTATATTACACATAATTTTGAAGAGATTAAATCCATTTGTAATAGAGTTGTTTTATTAACTAGAAGCGGAATTGTTTTAGATAAAAGAATTAATAATAAAATGAACTTAAAAAATGAAATTGAAAAAAAAATAAAAGAAGAACACAAAAAAATATTAAATATTAAAAATTAATTAAAGGTATACAAACAATATGTTGTCATTTATAAGAAAACAAACTTTTTTAGCATTATTTTATTTAGTTGCAAGAAATTATTTTAAAAATTATATGTTAATTTTTACAAATTTTATTTTACCTTTAGTAGTTATGTTGATTTTTTGATCTGTTTTTGAAAAAGGTAAAAATGATTTATTTTATATTCCTAAATTATTACCTGGATTAGCATCTTCTGGTATTTTTTCTGTTGGACTTATTTCATTTAGTTCTATTGTTGCAGGTTGAAAAAAATCAGTTATATTTAAAAAAATAAAAGCTTCTTCTGTTCCAAAATTTTATTTACCTTTAGCTTTATTTTTGTTTTATGTAATTATTTCATTTTTATCATTTTGAATGACAATATTTTTTTCTATGATTTTAAATGAAAAAAATATTGAACAATTTAAACATATAAGTAATTCAAAAAATATTTTAAATATAATTATTGGGGTTATTTTTACAATATTTATATCAACTTTAATAGGTTTATTTATAGGATATTTATCTTCAAGTCAAACAACTGCACAAACAATTGGTTTATCTTTTATGTTAATAAATGCTTTTTTGTTAGGATGTTATATAACACCTGATATGTTGATTTCAAATAAAACAATTCATTGATTTTCAATATTTTTTCCACATTATTCATCTATTAAATTGATTCAAATAGGATGATTTGATGGAGGAATTTTTAAAGATTTAAATCAAGTTATTAGAGAAACAACTGATAAATCTGAAATGTATGAAATGTCATATTATAATGTTGATGTTTTAAAAACAAAAATTTGTGATATGAAAAATAATTTATTAAATTGAATTGAATTTTCAAAAATTAACTTTAAATGACAAATACAAATTTTAATGTCTGGTTGAACTTTGTTGTTTGTTTTTTTAAACTTTTTAATTCTTAAATTTAAGAAAAATAAATAACAAAAAATTTAAAATTGTTATATAAATATTAAAAATTATGAAAATTTGATCAAAAATTTATAATATTATTTTCAATAACAAGTTTTTTATTTTTATTGGTAGTATATTTACATCTATTATTTTAATAATTTCTATATTTTGAGGTGTATATTTAAAACCAAAAATTAATATATTTTCAAATATTAAAAAAAATTTAAAAGTTAATGATGAAGAATTTGTAGAAAATTTATCTAATAAATTATTAAATTTAAAATATATTTTTGATAGTAAAGAATTATCTAAAATCATTTTTAAGGCATTTTTAATTAAAGATTTGACAAGAATTAAAGAAATATTACATTTAAAAGATGTATTTATTTTTGAAGGTAAAATAAATGTTTATTTTAATAAAATAAATGGAGAAATAAATTGAAATGAAATACAAGATTCTAAATTTTTAAATGATGAATTAGAAAAACAAATTGAACATTGAATTTTAAAATTAGAAACAGTAGAAATAGATATTGAAAGAGAATTACTTTATGAAAAAATTAATGAAGAATACAATTTAAATGAAAAAAGAAAAAATGATGTTATTAAAGTATTAACAAATCCTACAAAAACTGAAGATGAAAAATTATTAGAATTAGAAATAATTAAAAATAAAAATCCATTAAAAGCAGAAAGTTTTTCATTATTAAGTGGAGAGATTGTTAAGTTAAGAGAAATAAAAAATTTAAATTATTTAAATGAAATATTAAGATGAGTTAAAAGTATAGGTTTGGATGTTTTAAAAATCAAGAAACAAGAAATTAAAAATCTTTGAAATGATTCAAGTAAAAAAATTATGAAATTTGGTTTAAATAATTTAAGAATAAAAGAAATATCAAATTATTTTAGTTTTGAAAATATAAATTTTGTTTCAACCAATGATTTTGATGCAACCACTGGAGATTTTAAAATAGGTATAGATTTTTTTATGGATAAATTAAGTTTTTATGATTTAGAAAGTTTGAAAACATGAATAGAATCGTTTGATAATTTTTATAATAATATGTTAAAAATTAAAATAGAAAAAGAATTTGAAAAAGAAACAAAAAATAAAGAGTTGGTTAAAAAAGTTTTAGATAATTTTTATTTTGATGTAAAGATGAAAGAACTTTTGGGTTTTATTTCAAATAATAACAACAATTATTATGATTATGGATTAAAGAAAGAATATTTTTCAAATATTGATGGTACGTTTAATTCATTTTTTAATTCTGAATTTAATGATACTGAAAAATTAGAAAAAATAATTGATGAATGAATACCTAATTTAAAAACATATGAAAATAAAATAAATAAAGCAGTTTTAATTAAACAAATAATTGAAGAATATACAACAGAATTAAAAGAAAATTATAAATTATTAAAAAATAGTATTACTTCATATCAAATACCAATTGCAACCTCACTTAAAGAAGAAGATTTTGAATCTGATTTTTCATTTAAAGAAAACATTTTAAATTCAAAAACAATTTTACAATTAAATAAGATTAAAGAATGAGTAGAATCTTTAGAAAATAATTCAGAAGTAACAAGAATTAAATTAAAAAATTTAAGAAGTGCAATAAATCCTAAATTATCAGATACTGAATTTAATTTGAAATCAGATATTTTAATAGTTTTAAAAAATTTTAATGGTAATGGTCAATTAGTAACAAATGAACAAAAACAAACATTTTTAGAAATTACTGAATGTCGTTTTTTAGAAGGTTGTACACACAAATGAACTGTTGATGATTTTGATTTAATAACAGGTTTATTTAAAGTTACATCTTTAAATAGTTTTGATAAAGAAAAATTAGATCAAATTAATATATGAATAGATTTATTAAAGACAAATAAAATAAAAATAAAAATTTTAAAAACTCAAATTAAATTAAATTTAGATGAAAATAAGAAAAATATTTGATCTAAAGCAAATAAGATAATAGATCCTAAAGATAAATTTAATGCATTGAAATTAAGTCCTACAATATATAGTATAGATACAGATTTAAATGAAAATTTGAATGAATTTGATGGTTTTTTTAATTATAGTGAAAAAGAATTAAATGAAGAAAATATTGAAAAAATTCTTGATGTTTCAAAATTGAATAAGATTAAATCATGAATAGATATTATTGATGATGACATGGAAGAAGAAATAGAAAAAGCTATTTTGATAGAAATTTTGATTGATCAATCAGAAGAAGATGTTTTAAATGAATTAATTAAAGAAGTTTTAGATGGAAATGGTTTTACAGAAACAACATTTTTAAAAAGAGAAGATATTAATGATAATGGTATATTTAAAAAAGATAAATTAAAAAATCACAAAACAAAAACACAATTAAATAGTATAGAAACTTGATTAAAAGATATTATAAAAAATAAAATTAATACTATTTATACAGATGAAATAAAGTCAATTATTAAAAGATGAAAAAATTTTGCAATTGAAGAAGAACAAAAATCAAATATGCATTTTAATGAAGAAAATAGTATTACATTTAATTCTTTTAATCATGATGGTAGTTTTTTAGATACATTTGTACAAAATAAAAACATAATTCAATTAAAAACTATTTTAGAATGAGTAAAAAACGTTAATTCATATGATTCAAGTGTTAAATATAAAATTGATTTAAATAAAATTAAAGAATTTTTTGAAACTAAAGGAATTAATACAATGAGTGTTTCAGGTGATGAAATTCAAACAGGATTTCAAATTGATAATTATGATGTTTATTTTAAAATCGATTTAGATCAAAAATACAGTAAAGATGAATTAAGTTTTGTTATTTTTAAAGATAATGCTTATTGATGATCAACAGATGAAGAAATAGGTACTGGTAAAATTACATTAAATAATAATGGCAAATATGATGTTACTTTTGAATCAGAAAATAGTCAACTTAAACAAAAACTTGGTTTTTCATAATAATTTTTTAAATTTAATGTTTAAAGATAATTTTGGTTTAAAAATACATTTGTATATAATATAAAAATAATTAAATTAAAAACTCTTTTAAAATTATTAAAAATATTAAGATTATATTATTTAAATATTAAATTATAAATTAAATTTAAACAACATTAAAATATTTTTTAAATATATTAATGAAATTAACAAAATATTAATTTGTTATTCATTAAAGTAAAATTATGAGCTAAAGTATATTATTATAATTTTGATTTTTAAAAAGAATTATAAGAATATAGTAATATTATTTAATTTTTTAAGATTATTTATAAATTTGTATCATAAAATGATATGAATTTATTACTAAATTAAAAGAATAACATTTTTTTCATATATTTTTAATAAAAATTTTAAAAAAGACTTGAAAAAAAAAAAAAAAAACATATTAATATAATGGAGTATGAAAATTAAAAATTTTTTTGATTTAAAAAGAAATAAAAAAACTATAATTAGTTTGTTTTTTATAATTGTGCCAATAATTTCTATAGTTATAGTTTTGATGATTGTATATTTACCACCATTAATTAATAGTAACAAAAACAAAAAAACTATAAAAATAAAAAAAGAAAATATTGATAACAAAGAAAATAAAAATTCTAATATTTCAAACAAAAAAGCAAAACAACCTGATAACTCAAGTCCAAAAGATACAACTCAAACTGATATTTCAACAAATACAAATACAAATCAAGATGATATTTCAAGTTCAGCAACTACAACAACATTAGAAGAACCAAATGAAGTAAGTGATTTAGAACCAGTTGAAGAACCACATGAAGAACCAAATGAAGAACCAGTTGATAACACAAAATCTTCTGATACTTCAAGTTCAACAACCACAACTACAAATAAAGATGATAGTTCAAGTTCATCAACTACAACAACTGTGGAACCAACTGAAGAACATGATGTAGAACTAGTTGAAGAACTAACTGAAGAACAAAATGAAGAAACAACTGCAGAACCAGTTGATAACACACAATCTTCTGATAGTTCAAGTTCAACAACCACAACTATAAATCAAGATGATAGTTCAAGTCATAGACAAGAACAAACACCAGAAACATTTACAACATCAGATGGAACAATTATAACAATACCTAGTTGATTTAGTGATGATAGTTTTGCAGAAAGTCTTTTTCATACAAGCGGTTTATTAAATAATGAAAAAAAAGAAATTGTACTAAATTGACTTTATGGTGATCTTAATACTGATGAAGATGATGGTTATTATGAAAAAAATAGAGAATTTATGTGATCTAAAGAATTTCAAAGAACCCGTCCTGGTACAAATTTAAAGACAAATGCAAATGTGGTTATATATTATCATTATATTTACAAAAAAATATGAATAGAATGACGTCCAAAAAGAGATGGTGGTATAAACAATATTTGATATGGGGATTGGTCTAATCATGTAAATACTAAATGAAAATTTGAAACAAATGCACCAAACCCAGAAAAATATGGTTATCCTGCATTAACAGAACCATATGATTTATCACCAAAATATACATTTGATGATGGTACAGAAATTATAATTCCTAGTTGATTTAGTGACAATACTTTTGATGATAAATCACCAGATGAAATAGAAAGAATAGTAAAAAATTGACTTTATAATCATGAAAATAATGAAAAAAATAGAGAATTTATGTGATCTAAAGAATATTTTGATTGAAATGAGGAAACACCAATAAGAAACAATAAAAATGTTGCAAATAGGTACATATATAGAAAAATTAAAATATATTGATATGATTCAGAAAATATAGAAATTATGTATGGTGATTGAACTAATAATGTAGTATTAGAACCAGAAAAATATGGTTATTAAATATAAAACATATATATACTAATTAATTACATGTTATATAAAAAAATTAAAATTTAATTATTAAAATTTGTAATTTAATTAATAAAAAAATTATTAAATTTAATTTTTTAAAGATAATATTTTTTTAAAAATATATTTTTAGATAATAAAAATATCATTAAATTTGTAAAAAAAAAAAAAAAAACAACAAATAATTGTTGCTTTTATTTTAAATTTATGGTTGTGGAGGCTGGAATCGAACCAGACGACCTTCAGGTTATGAGCCTGACGAGCTAACCACTGCTCTACCCCACAGTATTTATTAAGATTATAACTTATTTATAAAAAAAATAAATGGTACGCCAGGCAGGACTCAAACCCACAACCTTCTGATCCGTAGTCAGATATTCTATTCAATTGAACTACTGGCGTATTTGATATTTATATTATTATTTTATAACTATTAATGAATATAAACATAATAAAATATACAAATTTTAAAAAATATATAAAAATAATAGTATAAAATATATAAAAATATTATGATTAATAATTATGAAATTGTTTACATTGTAAGAGAAGATGTAAAAGATTTAAATTCTATTCAAAAAAAAGTTGAAGAATTAGTTGGTTGTAAAGTTAAAAAACATGAACTTTGAGAAACAAGAGAACTTGCATATCCAATTAAAAAACAAACAAAAGGTCATTATATGATTTTACATGTAGAAACAGAAGGTAGAAATATTGTTGAATTTAATTTAAAAACAAAATTTATAAAAGAAATTTTAAGATATTTAGTTATTAATTTAAATGAAGAAAAAACATTTAAAATTCATAAAAGAACTAGACCATTTTTTAATAAATTTAAAAAAGAAAATTCTGATTTTAAAAAAGAAAATATAGAATAACAAAAACATAAATTATTATGTTTAATTTTAATCAAAAAAATTCAATTTTTTTAAGTCTTAAAAGATTTGAAAAAATTACTAGTAATATTTCAAAAAAATTAAATAGTAATTATTTTGTTTTAAATAAAAAAATATTTGCAAATTCAGAAATACTTATTACTTGTAATACATCTTTAGAAAATAAAGATGTATTTTTGTTTCATTCAACAGATTTAAATGTTAATGAAAGTATAATGGAATTATTTATTTCACTTGATAGTATAAAAAAACAAAATCCTAAAAGTATAAATTTAATTATTCCATTTTTAGCTTATACAAGACAAGATAGAATTTCAAAATTTGGCGAACCAATTACATCACAAATGATTATAAAAATGATTGAATCATTTAATTTAAATAAAATTATTACTTTTGATTTACATTCAGATAAAGTAAAAAGTTATTTTTTAAAAGATAAATTAATTCATTTAAGTTTTACAAATATATTATTAGAAAAATTATTGAATAAAAATATTTTACATTTATCTTTAGTTGTACCTGATTTAGGAAGACAAAAACAAATAGAAAAAATATCTAAAAAATTAAATATTCCACTTATTCAAATTTTAAAAGAAAGACCAGAACATAATAAAACAATTATTAAAAAAGTTATAGGTAATATTAAAGATAGAAATTTAATTTTAATTGATGATATGATTGATACTGGAAATACATTATTAAATTCAATTGATTTTTTAAAAAAATTAGGTGCAAATGATATTTACATTTTATCTACACATGGTATTTTTAGTAATAATGCAATCAAACATTTTGAAAAAAAATATAAAGATGGAAAAATTAAAAGTATATTAATTAGTAATACACTTTTACACAAAGAAACTTCATTTTTAGAAGTTGTTTCAATTGTAGATTGTATAGTTAATTATTTATTAAAAAAATAATTTTTTTATTTTTATTATATAAATGACTTTTTTGTTTATATTTATTTTTGATATATTAATTAAATTAAATATTTATATAAAAAACTTAATATTTTTATTAGATTTTTTTATATCATAATGTTTTATGTTATTATTTTTTAATATATTTAAGTATTTTGATTATAAAAATTAATTATTGTATCATTTTTATTCAATTTTAAATAATTATAAAATGTAATATAAATTTTAATTCCATCAATAATTTCTGTTTTATATGATGGATTTAATAATTTATTTTTTATTAAAATAATTTATTTTTTTTGTAATAAAAAAACACTTATAAAATTAAGTGTTTTTATTTGATTTTCTTTATTTTCACAATTATTATTTATTGTATATTTACTTATATTTTGAAATATATTGTTTTTATCTCAATCAAAATTAGTTTTTTTGAATTCTTTTTGTATAGTTTTATTTTTTAAAGTAATAAATAAAGATATAAGTTTACTTTTAATTATATTAATAACATTATTTTTACTTATTTTATTTTTATTATTTTTTATAATTAATGGTATATCAATAATTAATATTAATATCAATAGTATTTATAAAGTAATACCAAAAATATATTTTTTAATAATTTTAATGAAAAAATTTAAAATATATAAATATGAATAATAAAATTATTTTTTTAGGCTTAGGTAATTATGGAAGTATTTTTAAAAATAACAGACATAATGTTGGTGTTCAATTTATTGAAACATGAATGAAAGATTTAGAAATTGAATGAAATGAAAGACAATTTTATTTTTATTCTCATAAAGAATTTAATGGAATGGAAGTTATTTTTATTAAAATTAAAGATTATATTAATTTAACTGGTATAAATTATAAAAAAGTTTTAAAGGATTTAAATGAAGATTTTTGATTAACATTAATATGCAGTGATAATATAGATTTACCATTTTCTAAAATAAAATTTTATGATCATTTACCCAAAAGTGGTCATAATGGTTTAAAAAATATTGATCAATTTTTTTCAAATTTTAATTTTACCAATTTACAAATTGGTGTTGGTAAAAAGAAACCAATAGAAAAATGAGTTCTTTCTACAATTAAAGAAGATGAATTAGAAATTTTAAAATATAAATTTAAAAATTTACAAAAATTTTTAAATAAAAATTTACCTTCAATAATAAGTAAAAAACAAATTAAATGATCAAAAGAATTAAATTTAAAATGAGGTCAATATAAATCAGATAATAAAATTAATTAATTTTATTGGATGATAAAATATTTTTGTTATTATGAATTTTAATATTTATATAAATAAAATAAAAAAATTAAATAAAAAAAATAAAATAATTTTTTATTTTATATTAATTTTTGGTTTTATTTTATTAGGCTTAGGTATATTTTTAAGTGTTTATTTTTTAAAAATTAAAGAAGATGTAAAAAATAAAGATTTAGTAACTAAGCAAACACAAAAACAATATACAAACAGTAAAAATAAAAAAACAACAGAAGGTTCATCAATTAAAATTAAACAAACAATAAATTCTAATTCTAATCCTTCTTCTGGAATAACACAACCTAATTTACCAACACCAACACCAACATTAACTACACCAACTGATGGTTCATCAGGTACAAACACAGAACAAACAACAAAATCAAATGAAGGACCATTGGAATTGAGTTCAAAATCAATTGAAGAGATAGACCAAATATTAAAAAATACAAAAAAATTTACACCAAATGAAGTATTTACATGATTAAAAGATTCAAACAAAAGAAAATTAATTTTTTCAAATGAAACAGAAGTAATAAAAAAAACATATCTATATGATAATCATGCATATTTTTTAAAAAAAACATATCAATATGGAAATTTAAAATTAACTATTTATTCTTATTTAAATAGAATAGAAATTTCTGGTTGAGAAACTGATATCATTACTCCATTAGACAATCATGTTTTTACATATGAAGATATTAATATGAATTATTTTGAAGTTTACAATAATGTACCACAAACAATAGAAATTGTAAAAGAATGATTAAAACAAAAACAAAATGAAGGATTCCTTGATTATACTAGATTGATAGGACATGATGTAGAATACTATCAAGATGGAAGAACTAAATATTATCATTTTCACAATTATACATCTAATTTAAGTATAAAATTGTATTTACAAGAAGATAAAATAGAAATTCTTTTAAAACCACAAAATGAAGATGTAAATTATTATGAATTTAAATATCAAGATATTGATTTAACATTTCCAATACAAACTACATCAACAATAAATTCTAATTCTCATACTTCTTTTGAAATCACACAACCTGAGTCACCAACACCCACACCCACATTAACTATACCAAATGATGATTCATCAGGTACAAGCACTGAACAAACAATACCATCAAATGAAGGACCATTGGAATTGAGTTCAAAACCCATTGATGAGATAGATCAAATGTTAAAAAACACAAAAACATTTACACCAAATGATGCATTTACATGATTAAAAGATTCAAGCAAAAGAGAAGCAATTTTTTCAAATGAAATTTTAACTAAAAAACAAAGATTTCCAGATAATGACCATGAATATTTCTACACAAAAACATATGAGTATGGAAATTTACAATTAACTATTTATTCTTATTTCAATAGAATAGAAATTTCTGGGTGAGAAACTGAAGGAACTATTTTTTGAAATAAATACTTTTTTAAATATGAAGATATTAATATGAATTATTTTGAAGTTTACAATAATGTACCAGAAACAATAGAAGTTGTAAATGGATGGTTACAACAAAAATGAAATGATGGATTCTTGGATCATAAAAGATTGTTGCCAGAAGACATATATAAATCAGATAATGATTATTTTGAATATTTTCATTTTGAAAATTATACATCTAATTTAAGTATAAAAGTATATTTACCAGAAGATAAAATATTAATTCGTTTAAAACCAAAAAATACACTTTCAGATTATTTTGAATTTAAATATGAAGATATTGGATTAACATTTCCATGAAGTTTTCAATAAATAATATAATGTTTATTGTAAATTTATTTAAATTTTTAAAAAATATATTCTAAATTAAAATTATAAAAATATTTAAATATATAATTAATATTGTTGATTATGAATAATATTAAAAAAAATAAATCACTAGTTGTAATTGGTGCACAATGAGGAGATGAAGGAAAAGGTAAGATAGTTGATTATCTTGCTAAGAATGAATTTGATATTGTATGTCGTTTTTCAGGCGGAGATAATGCTGGACATACAATAATTATTGGTAAACAAAAACATAAATTTTCATTATTACCTGTTTCTATTACACAACCTGATAAAGTTTCAATTATAGGTTCTGGTTGTTTATTAAACTTAAAAACATTACATAAAGAATTAGAACATGTTTTTAAATTTAATACAAATATTAATTTATGAATTTCTGAAAAAGCACA